GAAGCATTGATTAAGTTAGTTATTAGTTAGTTTCCTATAGCCTCCCAATTCAACCAAGTGATTCTAGGCAGCTTACAATTCTAAAATTAGAAAACAATTTAAAAATTACTTAGTTATTCCAGACAGCACACTTGGCATCAACCTTCTGGTGTGAAATAAATAAATAAATAAATAAATAAAATTTAACTGTGTACTGAGCAATAGACCCTACTAAAAATGTTTCTGCAGTGGTGACTGTCATTTTTTAGAACGAACGAAATATCCAATGATACTATATAGATAGAGCAGCGGTGGGCAACTATGGCAACTTTATGACCTGTGAACTTCAACTCCTACAATTCCTGAACCTGCATGGCTGGCTCAGGAATTCTGGGAGTTGAAGTTCACAGGTCGTAACGTTGCCATAATTGTCCGCCCCTGCTAATATAAGAGAGTATGACAACTCTGCTTTTTGAAAAGCTGGAAGGTGTGGTAGTTGCCATTGTTGCCATGAGAGGTCAGAGTTACAACACCCATGTGTCTGAAATGGTATAGGGTTTCCTGCTTGAACAGGGGGTTGGACTAGAAGACCTCCAAGGTCTCTTCCAACTCTATTATTATTGTTGTTGTTTTTGTTGTTGTTTTTATTGTTGTTGTTGCTGCTGCTGCTGTTGTTGTTGCTATTATTATTATTATTTTAACTCTGAAAGCTAAATCCTCTTGTTTTTGCCCTACCCATTTCTCATTCATAGAATTTGCAATCAGAGTTATTTCATCAACTTCTATTGAGACTGAATATTTTTTTTAATGGAATCAAAGCATCTATGGATAGTCCTTGACTTATAATCCAAATGGAACCCGGCCATTACGGTTGTAAGTCGTGATGGTCGTAAAGTGGGTTATGACATGATTTTATCATTGTTTTTCACAGTAGTTGTTAAGAGACTGCCAGAGGTCATTAAGCGAACTACTGTTCGCTATGGGGTACTTTGCCAAAATCTGAAAGTAAATGCTAGTTTTCAGCAAATCATCATGAATCATGGTCATGTGACTGTGGGATGCTGCAAATGGTCAAAAATGTGGGCTGATTGTGAGCGATCAAAATGGGGGAGGCAGCCATTACCTTTTGGGGGGGGCATTGTAACTTTCAATGGTCGCTAAGCAACAGGAAGGCTGTGCAAATTGTGGTGAGGATGGCAGAAAAGATTACTGGCAGTTTCCTCCCTTCTATCCAGGACATAGCATATAAGTGATGCTTGAGCAGGGTCCACAAGATTGTCTGGGACGCTACACATCCTCTTCACAACCTGTTTTCCTTGTTACCTTCTGGGAGGAGGCTCCATAGTATCCGAAGCAGAACAACCACATTCGGTCACAGTTTTGTGCCATATAGTATTAACCTTGTGAACGCTAAAGCTTCCTCCTTCCATTATATATTCAAGATGGACTGTGATTAATATTTATATGTTACTTATATGTAAGGGTGTAGATGTATACATATGTTGTTTATAATATGTTTAAATGTGTGCTATGTATGTGTACACTTTGAGAGTAAGCAACTAAATTTCATTTTTAATGTGTGCCGTTGTGCCCATAGTAAAAATTGACAAAGGTTATCTAATTTAATCTAATCTAATAAATCGAGGACTACCTATATGTTTTGTTCTCTGCATTGACTCATCAGTGTTAAATGTTGATGCAACATTTGGAACAACTTCTCCACTCTGAGTACTTTACAACAAGTTGCGGATGTCAGGTAAAAGAGGTAAAGCCTACACAACACCAAAGTGGAATAACAAAATGCGCCACAGCTCTCTTTGACAGGAATTGTTTCTGGGAGAAGGTCCTGGAATCTCAGAAATATCCCTATCTTCAAATTACTGACTGGTTTAATATGGTGACCTAACATAATATTTGAAGTAAATTTTGTTAGTAAGAGATTTCCAGACATTTAAGGTGGGAGCCAGCAGTTTGCAGGCTAAAAGAAGAGAAATATAAAACAATCTCACAGGGATGTTATTATAGTGAGGAACAATGATAGGAAATCCGTAAGTGAGTCAGGTTGAGCTCCTGGAGAAAAGACAGGTTATAAATTTAGCACAGAGAGCCAATTTGATCTAGTGGAGGTGTAGGCAACCTTGGCTCTTTTATGACTCGTGGACTTCAACTCCCAGAATTCCTGAGCCAGCCATGCTGAGGGGAAAGGGAGAGGTTTCCAAGCTGAGCCATGCTGGCTCAGGAATTCTGGGAGTTGAAGTCCACAAGTCATAAAAGAGCCAAGGTTGCCTACACCTGATATAGTGGTTAAGGCACTTAAGGTTAAGGCTAGAAAACCGGAGGTTGTGAGTTCAAGTCTCTCTTTAGCCATGAAAGACAGTTGGGTGACCTTGGGCCAATCACTCTCTCTCTCTGCCCAACCCATCTCACAGAGTTGCTGTAGGAGAAGGAAAATGAATTGGATATGTTTGCCTTATTTATAAAAATAATAAAGGAAAATACAGATAAATTAAAAAATATATAATTAAAATAAATAACAATTCACAATAAATATCTCAAGGAAAATTAGCATTACTGCACATGGAACTAATGAATTGGCAAGGAAGCAGCTATGAGGACGAACAGAAAAAACCCCAAATATATACATTACACTAATCAGGTTTAACATGATTAAGAGACCCATAAACATTTTTCAAACCATCCAGCAAAGCACAGCTAACTGCATTTTGCAATGGCATCTTATGCTGGTCAGATGGCACTTCCTGTGGTTGCAGAGAGTGTATGTGCGATTTGTCAATTTTTACATTTTCAGAGACAAGAAACCCCATTTTTGCGGTGAAAAATCGTTCATCCTAGTTCAAAATTAGAGCAGGTGAACTGTTTCATTATAAGTAACTTTGGCCAATTATTCAACTTTTCTTTTCCCCCTTGATTTTTTTTTTTTACTCCAGATTTATCAGACACAGAAGATTGTAGCAAACAGTAGAATAATCTGTAACAAGCCATGGATACGTAGGATTAGCAATTTAACCACCCTTTAGCAGTTGGTCTGAGTTTGAATGATGTCTGGAAGTGCTCAGAATCAAATCCGAGAATTTTGCATACAAGATACATGCTCCTTTTGCTAAATAACAGCTCCGCCTTGAGTCTCCGGTTGAGCGCTCAGTCATGATCCTCAACCCTACATACAGGCTTTGAAATCTCATTTATGACTTGTTCTTCACCTCCATCCCTCTCAGCTATCACCCATCTTTAAGAAAGAAAACAGCAAAGATACTCAGAGAGGACCCCCAAACTTTCACTCAGTTGGTGGGATTTACACAGTCTGTTCTCCTTTGGCCACAAGACCAACTTACCTCGCAGAGACAGTCCGAGCAGCAGAGTGAGCAAACCGCGTGGAAACACTAAGCCAGCCATGGTGGTGAAAAACAGGTGCAAAGAGATCACTTTCCAGAGCTCATGGCCAGAAGAGCCCACCACCAGGTCATTAATTTGATAGCCCCCTCTTCTCCCCAAAGCTACCGAGACTTCTCTCCAAAACCAGAAATGGGAAGAAGTGAGACTGAATTTCGACATCAAATAATCTTCTGCACAGCAAGATCTGAAGGGGAGGGAGGAGTGAAAAGAGGAGGAGAGAAAGCTTCTCAAGAATATGATTCTTTTTTCCCCCTCTGGGAACGACATCTAATATGGCCAATTTAAGTTTTAAATATTGGGGTCCTTGAGCAACCCTCAGAAAGCTGGTGCGATGCTGGACATTTAGCATCCGATCAACTTGAATGGGATTGTGTGGATTTAATAAAAGCTGTCTGAGAGACACCAGGGACTTCATTTAAAAAACATCTTAAAAATCATGTAATGCAAAATCAGCAGGATGTTCGGGTTGTGAGTCGCACTTTTTCTGTTTTGCACCTTCTGGGTGCAAAGTTCATCGGGGCAGACAATTAAAAAAATCTTATTTTTTTTCCTGTGTTTGCTTTGGGAGGAGATTTTAAAGGATGCAGTTTTTATTTATTTATGTTCTTCTTTTATCACACCTTTTTTACTTTATAAGTAACTCAAAGCAGCAAACATACAGCTCCTTCCTCCATCTATTTTCTCCACAAAAAAGTTGAGGATTTGGAATCTTTTTATACTGACTCCTTTGAACGTAGAAGAAGCAAACAACTTCAGCGTTTGAGCACATGAAAAACTGTTTCCAACCGAGAGCATTTGCAGCATGTCAGTAGCCGTCTCAGTCTGACATCCATCTGTGGTTTTGTTTATATTTTGTTTCCCCTGCCTTTGTTTATATTTTGTTTCTCCCATAAATAGCTTTAAAACATCTGTCAAATATCCACAAGGCCTTTTTCTTACTGCAGAAAAAGGGATGCAGGTTAGTACAGATAGTCCTCAATTTATGACCAATCACTTAGCAACCATTCAAAGTTACAATGGACCCCCCCCCAAGAGCAAATTAGGACCCAGTTTTAGGATTCCAATGGTCATCACCCCTCCTCCTGTGTCAAGTAATTGTATTTTGCATGCTTAGCAATCCACCCACATTTACGACGTTTTGCAGCATCTTTTACAGTCACACAACCAAAATTTATAGTCTTTTTTTTTTTTTTTGCCAAAACCTGGCATTTACTTTCGATTCCTGGCAAAAACTGCCCATTGGCTAAAATGGTTTTGCTTAACAACTGTGGTGTAAACTTAACTACCATGGTGTTCGCGCTTAATAATCACGGCATCAACTTAACAACTGCCACTAAAAAACTACATAAAATTGGGTGTAGTCGTGTGGAGACCTGCTTAACCACCAGAACGGCTTACAATATTGTTAATTCCGGGCTCAATTCCGGTCATAAGTCCAGGACTGCCTGTCAGTTGCCAAAGTTGAATGTTTGTTAGGCGTGAGCAGGACAGAAGAGAGAAGCAGATGCTATTTTGAAGACAGCTTATTTTCAGCTTCAAGGCAAGGCTAGCCACAGGTAGAAACTGGAGGAAATGAAAGCCAGGCGAACAACAGGAGATGTGGAGGCCTTGAAGGTAGATGCAAAATGGGCTTCCTGTTTCACCACCACAGGAAGTGGCGGGTAGAGGCACCAAGGTACACAAGCAGCAGACATTTCTGCCGTGCCTCACCGCTTCAGCAAGAGAGCCATTATGGTAAGAGAATCTTGAAAATATCCCCCCAAACCTTCATCGTCTTTCCTTTGGAACCCTTAGAGGAGGAAGTCTTGAGATGACCTTTCTTTGTGTGGCCTTCAGGATAAAGATTACGTTGGCTTCGCTACATTGCCTACCCAGGTCCACAGGAAGACCGTGAAGAAGGGCTTTGACTTCACGCTGATGGTAGCAGGTAAGCAGTTACACCACTAGCTTTCTCCATTGTAGGAAACAAGGTCCCCTGCTTCCCACCTTAACCCACCAAGCTTGCCTGCTTCTTCCCAGGAGATATTCTTGTGGCTGTTTTCTCCTCCTGAATTGATTTAGGCATGCTATATTCTGTGGTGCAGCATTCAAACGTAAGAGCTAGACTCAGAACAAGCACTTGGTACCCAGTGTGAGCAGACCTCTCCTCTGAAATTGAAGCAATCTTCTTCTTCTCCTCCTCCTCCTTCTTCTTCTTCCTCTTTCTCCTCCTCCTCCTCTTCCTCCAGAATTGCTCATTGTATTGTTATGTAAGATGTTGAGAATGGATGGTGTCTTATTTTGTTTGTATCTTGTTTGGTTAAGAACAGGCAGTTTTCACTTTTGAAATCTGGGCTAGGAGAATATAGTTAATATACAGTATTCCTAATTCTTAAATGTTTATATATATAAAAATATGAGGGCTAATGAGCCTGAAATAGCTATACCAGTCTCCTACTAACTCTTCGTCAGCCACAAATTTTGAAATATATATATATATATGTATATATGTTCAAGAATATTGGTAAAAATGCGACTCCCGGGCATAATTATAGATGAAAGAAATAAAACACGATCACCGGGAGGGTTTAAAGTAAGAATACTTTACTAAAAATATACTATACTTATGCTAAAAAGTTGCCAAGCTTTCGCTGGGGGAAACTCCCCAACATCGTCAGGGCTAAAAAGGCCACTTCAACAAAGGTGGTTTAAGTAGGTTCAAGTAACGTCTGCGCACGGCTCTTAGACCGCGTCACTGGCCCTGGTTGGCCAGCTGATAACCGAGATGTGTCTGTAACGTTATACTCTTTTCTTCGAATACCCCTCCCTATCTCTCCGTTGTTGGTCTTTGGAGGAGTTAGCAACCCTCCATCTCTTCCTCTTTCGATAGTGCTGATACCTATCCTGTTGGGGGGAGGATTCGGTCTGGTGTTTTATTGTGTCTTATAATGGGGATATAATGTGAGTTAATGCCCCTTTTCAATTGTATACTTCTCTCCTCCTCTACCATGTCAACAGCTCCTATCTGAGTATGATATACTTCAATGATCCTGTCTTTATCCTCCACCCCAGTCTTCCTTGTATCCGTTCCCTTTCGTTGTTTGGCATTTGAGCCGGATCCTTCCCATTCATGCCAATAAGGGTTCGTTAGTATTTGGGCATGGTCTCCACTCCCATTACTTTCCCTTTTACTGATCGAGCGAGTTGTCATTCTATGTTTTCTCTCCCCTCTCCATGTGGGACGCTCCTCCTCATTGTTATGGGCGATCGCACACTCCCGGTGATCGTGTTTTATTTCTTTCATATATATATATGTATATGCATATGTATATGTATATGTATATGTATGTGTGTGTGTGTGTATATGTATGTGTGTGTGTGTGTGTGTAGTCCTTGACCTATAACCACAATTGAGCCCCAAATTTCTGTTGCTAAGTGAAACACTTGTTAAGAGAGTTTTGCCCCATTTTACAACCGTTCTTGCCACGGTTATTAACTGAATCGCTGTGGTTGTTAAGTTAATAACAAGGTTGTTACAAGAATCTGGCTTCCCCATTGACTTTGTTTGTCTGAAAATTGCAAAAAGGGATTACATAACCCCAGGATGCTGCAATTATCATAAATATGAGTCAGTTGCCAAGCGTCTTAATTGTGATCACATGACCAGGTGATGCCTCAATGGCTGTGGGAAAAATAATCATAAGTCATAAGTGCCCAAATTTCAATCACCCGACTACAAGAAGGCAAGAATTGGTTATAAGTCATTTTTTAAATGCCTTTGCAACTTTGAATGGTCACTAAATGAATGGTTATAAGTCAAGGATTACCTGTATTGCTTCCTTCACTAACCCAATGGAAGTCTGAACATCCTGGCCAAAATAAGGTAAAATTGAGGCTTTCTCTTATTGCATTTTAGGTTATTGTTATATTTCTGCCACAAATTATACCCTGGACCTTGATTCAGTTTTGAAGGATACCTAGATGTTTAGCATGTTAAATGTTTAGATGTTAGATCATGTCAGTGGCTGAGTTCACATATATTGTATGTTATGCTGAACCATAGGAACAGGGGTTCTCAAACTTGGCCACTTTAAGACTTGTGGACTTCAACTCCCAGAATTCTCCAGCCAGTATGGCTGGCTGGGAAATTCTGGGAGTTGAAATCCACAAGTCTTAAAGTGGCCAGGTTTGAGGGCCCCTGCATAAGAATATTTGCTTGGCCTTGGCTTAGCATAGGAGTCTTCAAACTTGGCCCTTTTATGACTTGTGGACTTCAACTCCCAGAATTCCCCAGCAAATATGGCTGGCTGGGGAATTCTGGGAGATGAAATCCATAAGTCTTAAAGTGCCCAAGTTTGAGGACCCCTGCATAAGACCATTTGCTTGGCCTTAGCACAGGAGTCTTCAAACTTGGCCCTTTTATGACTTGTGGACTTCAACTCCCAGAATTCCTCAGTCAGCGTGCCTGGCTGAGGAATTCTGGGAGTTGAAGTCCACAAGTCATAAAAGGGCCAAGTTTGAAGACCCCTGGCTTAGCATGTCAGAGACCGCAGCCAATGACAACTTACCCAATACATCATCATGAAGCAGTGACATTGTAGATTCCCAACTTGTACTTCTGAAAGTTCTATAAAGATAGTCCTCAACTTACAACCATTCATTGAGTAACTGTTCCAATTTACAGTGGCACTGAAAAAAATGACTTAGGACCAATTCTTGCATTCTTGTAGTCGGGTGATCGAAACGTGGGCACTTGGCAACCAGCATTTACTATGGCTGAAAATGTGATTGCCATTTCTGACCTTTCCAATTGGCTTCCAAAAGCAAAGTCAAAGGGAGAAGGCAGATTCGCTTAACAACGATGTGATCCACTTAACATCTAAACCAGTGGTTCTCAACCTGTGGGTCGGGACCCCATTTGGGGTCGAATGACCATTTTCACGGGGTCGCCAAACAACACAGTCCACCATTTTTCCCCCCCCTTTTCCTTAGCTGTGCTACTCCCTTTTATTCTATTGGCTTTTGAAAGCCAATAGAATAGACTCTCTTGAATAGAGTCTAATTCTATTGGCTTTCAAAAGCCAATAGGAATTGCCCAGGCTGTCTCTGCCCTGCTGAGCCCGCCAAAAGTCCCATTCTGCAAACAGTGCTGCACCAGTTGAGTAGTCCTTGACTTACGACCAATTGAGTAGTCCTCGACTTACGACAGGTTGGGGGTCGCGGCATTAAAAAGGTTGAGAACCACTGATCTAAACTGATTCACTAAACTAGTGTGGCAAAAAAAGGACGTAAAATCGGGCCCAGCTCATTTAACTGTTTTGCCTAGTAACATAAATTCTGGTTCCTACCACAGTCGTTAAGTTGAGGACTGCTTGTAGTCAAACTTTCTGCATTTGTTCTATAGGAGAATCTGGCCTGGGGAAATCCACTCTCATCAACAGCCTTTTCTTGACTGATCTGTATAAGGACCGAGTACTTCCAGATGCACAAGGTGAGAGTACAGCTGATGATTTTGGGAAGATGGGCCGGGGGGGGGGGTAACTTGATTAGGAGACCTCGGGTTGGTCCTGCTTTCCTCTTCTTCCTCTTCATAGCCAGGATCTCCCAAACTCTGGAAATTGTCAAGCATGCCGTAGATATTGAGGAACAAGGAGTGAAAGTCAAGCTGACAGTGATTGATACTCCAGGACTTGGTGATGCAATAGACAACACAGAGTGGTAAGAGGCACCTACAGAATAAGAGAGTTGGAAAGGACTTTGGAGATCTTCTAGTCCACCCCCGGCTCAAGCAGGAGACCTATACCATTTCAAACAAGTGGCTGTCCAGTTTCTTCTTTAAAAAAAAAACTCTAGTGATGAAGCACCCACAACTTCTGGAGGCAAGCTGTTCCACTGGTTAATTGTCCTCACTGTTAGGAGGTTTCTCCTTAATTCCAGGTTGCTTCTCTCCTTGATTAATTCCATCCATTGTTTCTTGTCCTCCCCTCTGGTGTTTTGGAAAATAAGCTGACCCCCTTTTCTTTGTGGCAGCCCCTCAATTACTGGAACACTGCTATTGTGACACTCCTAGTCCTTCTTTTCTCTAAACTAGCCATACCCAAATTCTGCAACCGTTCTTCGTATGTTTTAATCTCTAGGCCTTTAATCATCTTTGTTGCTCTTCTCTGCACACTTTCCAAAGTCTCAACATCTTTTTTATAATGTGGTGACCAAAACTGGATGCAGTATTCCAGGTGTGCTCTCATTAGGGTTTGTATAAAGTGGTATAAATCTTTATAAACCTCTGGGCACACTTATGTGTTAATTCTGTGATTGAAAACCCTATTACATCTCTTCACACAAAAAAATGCGCACAGAATCCTGATTGGAAAGAGCCTTTTGGCATGAGTTTGCAGTAAACAGATTTAGAGATGACTTTGGGAGAGGTATGAAAAAAAAAACATTAAGATTTCAGCTTTCTTAAAAGAGCAAACGCAAGAGAAATTTTTTGCTGTATGGGAAAAATGGATAAATTTCATACAATTTAAATTGGATTTGAAAAAATATCATTTAGCTTTTTTATAATTTGTATAAAAACTCTACTTTTTCTTTTTCTTTTCTTTGTTTTTCTTTTTTAAATACTTTCTCTTTTTAAGGATTATAATTCTTTTTTCATATATATTTTATTTTTAATTATCTTATAATTTTGTTAATTTTTTTTAATTAAGCCTATATCCTGCTCTGGGAAGCTCCGGGGGGGGGAGGGAGGGGGTGGTTTGGAAGGGGTTGGGGGAGGGTTGTATTGTTTTGGGTTTTTTTGTGTTGTTGTTGTTATTGTTTTTTTTCTGTCTTTGTAAAAGTTTTTAAAAAATTTTTCAATTAAAAAAAAAAACATTAAGGAGAGACTGGGAAACAAGATTATAGCTAGTCCTTAACTTACAACCAGAGTATTGCCAGAATTACCAGAATTTCCATTGCTAAGGAAGAGGGTTGTTAAGCAAGGAAAGTTCAACTTTAAGAGGCAAGTTTAAGCGAGGCAAGTTTCCATTTTGTTTTGCCATGGTTGTTAAGTAAAACACAGCACAATCATGCGGTCATTAAGCGAATCCAGCTTCCTCCATTAACTCTACTTGCTGATTGGGAAGGTTGCAAATGGTGATCACATGACTCTGGGATGCTGAACTGTGGTAAATACAGGCTGATGGCCAAGAGGCCAAATGTTTATCACATAACCATGGGGATGGTGAAATGGACATAAGTGTGGGGACAGGTTGCAAGTCACTTTTTTCAGTGTTGTTGTAACCTTGAACAATCACTAAATCAATCGTTGGAAGTCAATGGGTCCCTGTACACCAGTGGTTCTCAACCTTTTTAATGCTGCGACCCCCCAACCGATCGTAAGTCAAGGACTACTCAACCGGTCGTAAGTCAAGGACTACTCAAGTGGTGCAGCACCGTTTGCAGAATGGCTCAGCAGGGCAGAGACAGCTTGGACAATTCCTATTGGCTTTTGAAAGCCAATAGAATTAGACTCTATTCAAGAGAGTCTAATTCTATTGGCTTTCAAAAGCCAATAGAATAAAAGGGAGTAGCACAGCTAAGGAAAAGGGAGAAAAAAATGGCAGATTGCATTGTTTGGCAACCCCCGTGAAATGGTTGTTCGACCCCAAATGGGGTCCCAGCCCACAGGTTGAGAACCACTGCTGTACACAGTTCAGAGACTGAAGCAAGTATGAGAAAGAAAATTAAAATAACTCCAAGTTGATTTCGTTTCGTGGAAAACGTGAGGAAAAATCTGGATAGAAACATTTCAGGTTCTATTCCTTTATCACCTCCAGTGATAAGGTCACATTCCACAAATCTTTTTTTTTTTTTAAACCTAGCTTACCACAAATTTATTTAATTTATTTGTATCCTGCCTTTATTATTTTTACAAATAACTCAATGCGGCTGATATAACCAACACACATTCTTCCTCTTCCTATTTTCCCTGTAACAGCAACCGAATGAGGTGGGTTAAGAGAAAGACTGACTGCCCCAAAGTCACCCAGCTGGATTTCCTGCCTAAGACAGGATTAGAACTCACAATCTCCTGCTTTCTAGACTGGTGCTTAACCACTAGACCAGGGGTCTGCAGCCATAAGAACTTTAAGATTTGTGGACTTCAATTCCCAGAATTCCTCAGCCAGCATAGCTGGCTGAGGAATTCTGGAAGCTGAAGTCCATAAGTCTTTAAGTTGTCAAAGTTGCAGACCTCTGCACTAGACTAGACCAAACTGGCTTTCTTTCTTTCCCTTTTATCTTACAGCTGGAAACCAATTGCCAATTATATCGATGGTCAGTTTGAACAGTATTTTCGGGATGAGAGCGGCCTCGACCGCAAGAATATTCAGGATGGCCGTGTTCATTGCTGCCTCTACGTCCTCTCACCTTTTGGACACGGGTACGATGCACACAAGTTTAGGAGTGAAGCAGAGTGAAAAGTAGGTGAGAGCCTTGCCCCTGTCTCCTGGGAGGACCAGGTATCTGCAAAGGAACAGCAAGTATTAACTTAGTTCAACACCGGCAAGGCAAGGTACTGTATATAAACAGGGAGCGAACTCCACACTCACTAGCACTGATGATGTTACTTAGTAAGATAATGAAACATCTGAAAGGAAACAACAAAGCTCAGAGAGCACCAAGCACTCCACAGCTTAACTTCAGATAGAACTTAACCCAGGATTTGAACCCACCATCCAGTACAATGTTTGTCCTGGCAAAAAGATAATAAAAATTTTACCAAACACGTTCAAAAGGCCTTGCATACCAACTGTCCATCCTGACCTCAGGATGAGATTCTTATTTTATTTGAAATAAATAATAATTAGCAAGGCAGAACCTAACAGCTTGGCTGTTATCGGTAACATTTTCCAAGGACGGGCAAACCTTTGGCTCCTCCTCTTTTGCTACAGGCTCCGCCCCCTGGATATAGAATTCCTCCGAGCCATCCATGACAAAGTCAACATTCTGCCTGTGATTGGAAAAGCGGACTGCTTGACGCCGTCAGAGGTGCAGCACAAAAAAGAGAAGGTATCCACAAGGAAAAACACCATGTAAATAAATCTTGTAGATTACGAGCAAATACAGACCCCTTTCGCCTGTATTACAGGTACCCTGTTTTCCCCGAAAGCAAGGCCTACTCCAAAAATAAGCCTTAGCTTGATTTTTGGGGGTAGGCCTAATATAAGCTCTACCTCAAAAGTAAGCCCTAGTTTTGGGGTGAGGCACAAATCTAAAAATCAAGCTAGGCGTCTTCTGCAGCCAGGTCTGCATTTCTCAGTCACAGGCCTTTCCGGAAGGCCACTGCAGCTGAGAACAGAGCTATGGATTGAATCCATAGCTCAGTACTCGGCTGCACAGGCCTTCCAGAAAGGCCTGACCGCAAAATGCAGGCCGGCTGGGGGGGCTGTCGGTGCCAAAGTTGAGTATAAAAGACACCCCCTGAAAATAAGACCTGGTGCCTTTTTTGGAGGCAAAAAAATAATAATACCCCGTCTTATTTTCAGGGAAACACGGGTAGTCCTTGACTTACGACTACAGCTGGGACCAGAATCTCCATTGCTAAGCAAGGCAGTTGATAAGAGAGTTGTGTCCTATTTTATGATCTTTTTTTGCCATGGATGTTAAGCAAATCACTGCAGTTGTTAAGTGAATCATGCGGTCATTAAGCAAATCCAGTTTCCCCCATTGACTTTGCTTGCTGGCCACCAGCTGAGAAGGTTGCAAATGCCAATCATATGACCCCGGGAGGCTGCAACTGTCATAAATGCGTACTGGTTGCCAAGCACCTGAATTTTGATCATGTGACCTTGGGGATGCTGGGACTTAGTGGAGATGCTAAGCATCAGGACCATCATAAGTCATAATTTTGGCTTCCTCCAGGATGATTTTTTAAAAATGTCCTCATCAAGATTTCCTTGTGACCTCCCATCCACTTCCCAGCCACGCCTGATTCTACCTGAAAGCACCTGCATTAAACTCCCACCATCCCTTTTGTAGTTATATTTCAAGGCTGTTTTAAAATTACAGATTCGGCAGGAGTTAGAAGCCAACAGCATCTGCATTTACGAATTTCCTGACTGTGACTCCGATGAAGACGAAGTGTTCAAAGCTCAGGATGCTGAGATGAAGGTGGGAGAATCGTAACCTACCTGTAGGTTTCACGGGATGCTCTCTGGGATTAGATTACTATTTCTCAAGCTTGGCAACTTGAAGATGCATGGACCTCAACTCCCAGAATTCCCCAGCCAGCCATGCTGGCTGGGGAATTCTGGGAGTTGAGGTCCATGCATCTTCAAGTTGCCAAAGTCTAGTTAAAGCAGCCAAGGATCTAATTAGCGTTCTCCCCGCAGAGAAGCATCCCTTTTGCTGTCGTTGGATCTAGCCACGTGGTCAGAGAGCTAAAGGGCAAAGTATTTCGGGGGAGGCAGTATGCGTGGGGAACCGTGGAAGGTAAATCTTTTTAAGATTTCTTAAAGAGCAACATGGGCAGCAGAGGGCGCTGTGCCATGGGAAGTCAGAAGTGGTACATGTACTAATCCCTTTGTTTGTTTGTTTTCTCTTCCCCTAGTGGAGAACACCGCTCACTGCGACTTCCTTAAACTTAGGAACATGCTGATTCAAACTCACATGCAAGACTTGAAGGATGTGACCCAGGAGGTTCATTATGAAAATTACCGCGCACAGTATATTCAGAGTCTCACCAGACCCGGGGCTCGGGATCGCAGTAGTCGCGCGTAAGCCCAGTTTGGGACTTTGGAAAAACGGGAAGTTAGCTAAGAGAACTCCGATGAATCAAGTGACTGGCTGTGTTTGTATGGCATAACAGAAACAAAAAACCACCAGCAATTGGTTTGTAGGTAATCCTTGACTTACGTCCAGAATGATGATGATGGTATAATAATAATAATAATAATAATAATAATAATAATAATAATAATAATAATAATAATAATAATAATAATAATAACCCCCAGTGAGGCACTACCTTGACGTGGTTGTGGGGCTTGTGTACTCTGAGGAAGATGAGAGCTATGCCAGAGGTTCAACCATACTGGACAGGTCTCATCAGAGGAGTCAGACAAAGAGTGTCTCTCCCATAAAAAATATGGTGAGACGTAAATTTCAGAATGCCATACCGGCTCGGACGTCGCCCGGGTTAACAAGGTCCGCGCTAGATATTGGAGTTCCTGGATATCTGGTGAAAAATGGGTTACAGGACTCAGGACTGTTGGCTGAGCAACCAGGGCCAGCAGCTGCAGAACTACTGGAAGAAAAGGTGTTTACTCGTCGCAGATACACAGTGATGGAAAACAAAGAAATAATGATCTGTTACTACAGATCAAGTCCAACAAGACGAGGATATCTAAAACGAATGCACGAATTCTGGAAAGAACAACATCCAGAATCAGAAATAACAGAACAGAGACTAGCAGATCAACGCCGATTTATAACACGAAATAAAGTATTTACAGAAACAGAATTGGACGAACTGCAAAGGTTTACCCAGGGCAAAGAAATCAAAGCCTTACCAGAAGTAATTCAGAATGTAGAGGCAAACCAGGGGGAGTTGGCAGTGAAGAATCCAGTAGAGATATACAACTGTTCTCATTTGGAAACCAGGCACCTCTTCCTCAGGAAGAACAAAACCCTCTAACTAAAGAAATAAAAGAATTGAAACAAAGAATAATTGAGCATCTAGAACAGCACAAAAACAACAGAATAAGGCTGCCTGCATTGAAGCTTGTTCCAAAGAAACAGCTAGCACAAGCATTAAAAGATGCAAATACTGCAATAGCAAGTATAAGCACCAATTCACTGCAAGAAACAAACCAACTAATGTACAGCACAGCTGCAGTTATAACAGAATACCTGGGATGCAAAATCAACAAAGAAGAAAAACAAACAAACAGTGCACCACAAAAATGGAAGGTTAGACTAGAAAATAAGATCAGCAAGTTAAGATCACATGCAAGCAAGCTAGAACAGATGAAAGAAAAGAAGCTGAAGAACAAGAAGACCAAAGAATACCTAATCAAGAAATACCACTTAGAAACAAGGAAGATCAAGGAAGCACTGGAAATAATAAAGCAACAAATAACAGCTATAGCCAGGAAAATCAGTAGATATGAAGCTCGAATTGCAAACTATAGGCAGAACCTCCAATTTCAATCCAATCAGAAACGTTTCTACCAATCCATCAATGGAGAAACTGCAAGGAATCAGTCAGTACCTGACAAGGAAGAAACAGTGCAATTCTGGAAGCAGATATGGGATAACCCAAAGAAATACAACAAGGATGCGGCTTGGTTAAAAGAGGTGGATGCAAATAAAACAGAAGTTGAAATGAAAGAACTAGTAATAACAACAAAAATGGTAGAAAAAAGAGCAAAGAAAATCAAAAATTGGTCAGCACCAGGTGAAGATGAACTGCATGGGTTTTGGTTGAAACATCTAACTGTTATACACCCACTCATTGCCAAGCAGTTCAACAATATACTACAAGGAGGAGAAATTGAAAAGTGGCTAACAACTGGGAAAACCTACCTAATAATGAAAAATCCAGCAAAAGGGGCAACACCAGGTAACTACAGGCCAATTACCTGCTTACCAACAACATTCAAATTACTAACTGGTGTGGTAGCTGATGCAGTACAACAGCATCTAGTTGAAAACAATCTCTTTCCACCTGAGCAGAAAGGAAACCGCCCCAATAGCAGAGGAACAAAAGATCAACTCCTAATAGACAAAATGATCTTGGAAAACTGCAAGAGAAGGAAGACCAACCTGAATGTGGCATGGATTGACTACAAAAAGGCATTTGACTCTCTGCCACATGATTGGATAATCAAGTGCCTAGAAATAACAGGAGTCAGTAGAAACATCAGAAAATTTGTGCAAAGATCGATGGCACAATGGAAGACACAGTTGCAGATCAATGGTGAAAGCTGGGAGAGGTTAATATCAAGAGAGGAATATTTCAAGGAGATTCATTATCACCATTACTATTTGTTATTGCACTGTTTCCTCTGTCAACAATACTGAATAACTCAGGACATGGCTATCAAACATCAAAAACATCTGCTAGACTATCCCACCTCCTTTACATGGATGATCTGAAGCTGTATGGAAAAACATCATCTGAAATAGAATCGCTGCTCAACACTGTCCGTATATATAGCCAAGATATTGTAATGGAGTTTGGCTTGGACAAATGTGCCACACTTACTATCAAACAAGGAAAAATAGTGAAAACTGAAGGAATCAAGATGCCCCACGAAAATAACATTAAGAGTCTGGATGAGGAAGAGTACTACAAATACTTGGGTATCCTTCAAGCTGACAACATCAAGCACACTGAAGTCAAGAAAAAGATTAGAGGTGAATACATCAAGAGAGTGAAGAAGATCTTAAAATCCAAACTCAATGGAGGAAATACCATAAAGGCAATCAACACCTGGGCAATCCCAGTCATTAGGTACACAGCTGGAATAGTGGACTGGACTCAAGCAGAACTAAAAGCAATGGATAGGCAGACCAGAAAAATAATGACAATGAATCATGCCCTTCATCCACGCAGTGACATTGATAGACTTTATCTACCAAGGCAAATAGGTGGGCGTGGAATGCTACAAGTACATCAGATGGTTGAAGAAGAAAAAATGCTTTGGAAGAATATCTGAAGAACAATGATGAAGATGCACTGAAATTAGTATATCAGGAAGGCTTACTAACTACTGGAGAGACCAAACTGGCCTACAAGAAAGACCAAATGAAGAACAGAATAGAGGCATGGGAAGACAAAGCACTACATGGCCAATACATGAAAAAAATAGCTGGGAAAGCAGATAATAATAAAACCTGGCAATGGCTAAGAGCAGGAAAATTGAAGAAAGAGACCGAGGGACTAATTCTGGCTGCACAAGACCAAGCCTTAAGGACAAATGCATACAAAGTCAAAATTGAGAAGACAGCAACAGACAGTAAGTGCCGCCTATGCAAAGAAGCTGAAGAAACAGTGGACCACTTGGTAAGCTGTTGCAAGAAGATTGCACAGACTGATTACAAGCAGCGGCATGACAAAGTAGCAACAATGGTGCATTGGAAGATCTGCAAAAAATATCATTTGCCTGTAAGCAAAAACTGGTGGGATCATAAAATAGAGAAAGTCATAGAAAATGATAAAATTAAACTGCTCTGGGACTTCAGAATTCAAACAGACAAGCACCTGCAACATAACACCCCAGACTTAACAATTGTCGATAAGAAAGACAAAAAAGTCTGGATAGTGGACGTGGCAGTGCCTGGAGATAGCAGAATAGAAGAGAAAGAACTGGAGAAGATAACAAAATACAAAGACCTACAAATAGAAATAGAAAGACTGTGGCAAAAGCAAGCAAGGGTAGTACCAATAGTCATAGGCTCCTTGGGTGCAATCCCAAAACAACTGGAGCACCACTTGAACACCATTGGCATTGACAAATTCGCTATTAGTCAATTGCAAAAGGCGGCCTTACTAGGAACTGCTTCCATCCTGCGACGATATCTGTAATACCATCAAACATCCACATCTGCCTATCCCAGGTCCTGGGTAAGGACTCGATAGGTAGACAAAATGCCAAATCCAGTCTGAACATCTGGCTGACTGTGCGATGATCTGTAATAATAATAATAATAATAATAATAATAATAATAATAATAATAATAATAATAATAATAATAATAATAATAATAATACTGTTTCCTCTGTCAACAATACTGAATAACTCAGGACATGGCTATCAAACATCAAAAACATCTACCAGACTATCCCATCTCCTTTACATGGATGATCTGAAGCTGTATGGAAAAACATCATTTGAAATAGAATCACTGCTCAACACTGTCTGTATATATAGACAAGATATTGTTATGGAGTTTGGCTTGGACAAATGTGCCACACTTACCATCAAAGAAGGAAAAGTAGTGAAAACTGAAGGACTCAAGATGCCCCATGAAAATAACATTAAGAGTCTGGATGAGGAAGATTACTACAAATACTTGGGTATCCTTCAAGCTGACAACATCAAGCACACTGAAGTCAAGAAAAAGATTAGAGGTGAATACATCAAGAGAGGGAAGAAGATCTTAAAGTCCAAACTCAATGGAGGAAATACCATAAAGGCAATCAACACCTGGGCAATTCCAGTCATTAGGTACACAGCTGGAATAGTGGACTGGACTCAAGCAGAACTAAAAGCAATGGATAGGCAGACCAGAAAAATAATGACAATGAATCATGCCCTTCATCCACGCAGTGACATTGATAGACTTTATCTACCAAAGCAAATAGGTGGGCGTGGAATGCTACAAGTACATCAGATGGTTGAAGAAGAAAAAATGGCTTTGGAAGAATATCTGAAGAACAATGATGAAGATGCACTGAAATTAGTATATCAGGAAGGCTTATTGACTATAGGAGAGACAAACTGGCCTACAAGAAAGACCAAATGAAGAACAGAATAGAGGCATGGGAAGACAAAGCACTACATGGCCAATACATTATAAAAATAGCTGGGAAAGCAGATAATAACAAGACTTGGCAATGGCTAAGAGCAGGAAAATTGAAGAAAGAGACCGAGGGACTAATTCTGGCTGCACAAGACCAAGCCTTAAGGACAAATGCATATAAAGTCAAAATTGAGAAGACAGCAACAGACAGTAAGTGCCGCCTATGCAAAGAAGCTGAAGAAACAGTGGACCACCTGGTAAGCTGCTGCAAGAAGATTGCACAGACTGACTACAAGCAGCGGCATGACAAAGCAGCAACAATGGTGCATTGGAAGATCTGCAAAAAATATAATTTGCCTGTAAGCAAAAACTGGTGGGATCATAAAATAGAGAAAGTCATAGAAAATGATAAAATTAAACTGCTCTGGGACTTCAGAATTCAAACAGACAAACACCTGCAACATAACACCCCAGACTTAACAATTGTCGATAAGAAAGACAAAAAAGTCTGGATAGTGGATGTGGCAGTGCCTGGAGACAGCAGAATAGACGAGAAAGAACTGGAGAAGATAACAAAATACAAAGACTACAAATAGAAATAGAAAGACTGTGGCAAAAGCAAGCAAGGGTAGTACCAATAGTCATAGGCTCCTTGGGCGCAATCCCAAAACAACTGGAGCACCACTTGAACACCATTGGCATTGACAAATTTGCTATTAGTCAATTGCCAAAGGCGGCCTTATTAGGAACTGCTTCCATCCTGCGACGATACCTGTAATACCATCAAACATCCACATCTGCCTATCCCAGATCCTGGGTAAGGACTCGATAGGTAGACAAAATGCCAAATCCAGTCTGAATATCTGGCTGACTGTGCGATGATCCATAATAATAATAATAATAATAATAATAATAATAATAATAATAATAATAATAAACAATAATAATAATAATTCCCTTGGGTGCAATCCCAAAATAATTGGAGCACTACTTGAACATCACTGGCATTGACAAATTCGCTATTTGTCAATTGCAAAAGGCAGCCTTACTAGGAACTGCTTCCATCCTGAGACGATATCTGTAATATCATCAAACATCCACATCTGCCTATCCCAGGTCCTTGGTAAGGACTCGATAGGTAGACAGAAATATCAAATCCAGTCTGAACATCTGGCTGACTGTGCGATGATCAATAATATTAATACTAATAGTAGTAGTAGCAGCAGTAGTAGTAGTAGTAATAATAATAATAATAATAATAATAATAATAATAATAATAATAATAATAAAAGTCGGAAAGGACCTTAGAGATCATCTAGTCTAAGCCCCTGCTCAGGCAAGAAAGCCTATACCATTTCAGACAAATGGCTGTCCAGTCTCTTCTTAAAAACTTCCAGTGTTGGAGCATTCACCGCTTCTGGAGGCAGGTTGTTCCACTGGTTAATTGTTCTCACTGTCAGGAAGTTTCTCCTTAGTTCTAGGTTGCTTCTCTCCTTGATTAGTTTCCATCTGTTGCTTCTTGTCCTGCCTTCAGGTGCTTTGGAGAATAGTTTGACTCCCTCTTCTTTGTGGCAGCCCCTAAGATATTGGAACACTGCTATCATGTCCCCCCTCATCCTTCTCTTCATTAAACTAGACATACCCAATTCCAGCAACCGTTCCTTGTATGTTTTAGCCTCCAATCCCCTAATCATCTTTGTTGCTCTTCTCTGTACTCTTTCTAGAGTCTCAACATCTTTTTTACATTGTGGTGACCAAAATTGGATGCAGTATTCCAAGTGTGGCCTTACCAAAGCATTGTAAAGTGGTATTAACACTTCACGTGACTTTGATTATCCATTCAGTCAAGTCCGACTCTTGATAATGCTATGGGGCAGGTCTCTCCACAACTTCTGATCTTCTACTACTTCTTTGAGTACGACGAAAATAGGGACCAGAATTTCTGTTGCTATGCAAGGCAGTTGTTAAGTAAGTCATGCAAAATTTTAGGACCTTTTTTGCCACACTTGTTAGGGCGAAACACTGCAGTTGTTAAGTCAAACATGCACCTGCGAGCAGATCCGGCTTCCCCCACTGATTTTGCTTGTCTCAAGCCAATTGGGAAGGTCACAAATGGTGATCACATGACCCCAAGACACTGCAACGGTCGTAAATACATCCTGGTTGCCAAGTGGCCGAATTTTGATCACGTAAGCCCATGCTGCAATGGTTGTAAGCATGAGGACTAGTTGTAAGTCACTTTTTTCCAAAGCTACTGTTAACTTTGAACGGCTATTAAAGGAATGGTTGTAAGTCAAGGACTACCTATAAATAAGCTCATAAATCATGGTTTCTAAACCACAGGCTAGGTTTACACAATTTGTTACGCCCAAACCAAACATGCATGATGGCGTAGCAATTTATCTGAACTAGGCCAGGATATGCCTTTCACCTGACTTAATGGAGTATTCAGAATCAGTTGAAACAAGATTTTTCTAAAAAAAAATCATTTGAAATTTTATTAATGAAGACACTGGCAGAAAAAAATATATAACAGAGGTAACACAGACTAGCTTTATTACCAATCCGGTGTATTTTTTAAAAAATAAAGCTTGTTAACCCTCAGGATTGTAGATGAACTGTACATAGATCCATATAAAAGACTGCTTGGATTATTAAAATGAAGTACAATTATTCTTAACTGAACCATTGTATAAAACTTTATATACATGTATAATATGTGTAAGAGGCCCAAAGATATATAATTTGCTGTGGTTTTGCTTTTCTTCTTTCCCCCCTTTTTCTAATCTTTCTTTTTCAGTTGAGCTTATTTAAATCAATGTTTTTTTCAAATTTGGCAACTTTTAAGACTTGTGGACTTTAACTCACAGCCAACGCTGGGTAGAAAATTCTGAGAGTTGAAGCCCATGCTTCTTAAAAGTTGCCATGTTTGGAAAACACCCATTTAAATAAAGCATAAATAAGCAAATCATCAGATACATACATATCAAGAATGTGACCTGGTGAAATTTAAAACTCTTGTCTCGCTAGGAAACTGTCCCGCCAGAGTGCCACCGACCTGCCTGTCCTGCCGATGTCCGAGACAGAGAAGTTAATTCGTGAGAAGGACGAGGAGGTGAGTCATAAAGAGAAGCAGGACCGTTATGCAACCGTCCTGCTATCATTTTCATGCAAGTGATGGGGTTGATGGCAAAGGAGAATGATGGACTTCTGCAACTTCCCATCTCATATTTTCTGCTTGGTTTCCCTCTTAGCTGCAAGGGGTGGGGAATACCTTGGCAATCTGTCAGCCTTGCGAGGTAGTCCAGACAAGAAACACACCCAGAAGTACTAGCTCTACTTTATTCTAAGGTCACGTTGACAGAATTTCAAAAATCTGAAAGAACATCTCTTCCCCCTCGCCTTTACAGCTTAAGAAACTAGAGAGAGTCTTTTCTGAGATGTTTGCCATGCCGTCATTCTGAGCATGGCTCTGACCCATGTCCCAAGGTCATTCCCACATTGTTGTTGTTAGTTGCGAAGTTGTGTCCAACCCATCACGACCCCATGGACAACGTTCCTCCAGGCCTTCCTGTCCTCTACCATCTTCTGGAGTCCATTTAAGCTCACGCCTACTGCTTCAGTGACTCCATCCAGCCACCTCATTCTCTGTCGTCCCCTTCTTCTATTGCCCTCAATCTTTCCCAGCATTAGGCCCTTCTCCAGTGAGTCCTTCCTTCTCATTAGGTGGCCAAAGTATTTGAGTTTCAACTTCAGGATCTGGCCTTCTAAAGAGCAGTCAGGGTTGATCTCTTCTAGGACTGACCAGTTTGAACGCCTTGCAGTCCAGGACACTAGCAGGAGACTTCTCCAGCACCATAGTTCAAAGGCCTCAATCCTTTGGCGCTCAGCCTTTCTTATGGTCCAACTTTCACAGCCATATATTGCAACTGGGGAAACCATGGCCTTGGTAAACCATGGTATTCCCACATGCCATTATGCAATCAGATGCAAAAGAGATCTCTCAGAGAAAAGATAAAGCGCTTTCTCCCATTTTCCTCAAAGAAGAAAAATATACCAATAAAAGAGAATATTTGTAGCTCAGATTTGAACTGTCTGCACTGTCCTTGATGCTCTCTGAGCTTGGTTGTTTTCTTGGCAGACATTTCATTACCCAAACTACATAACATCATCAGCGCTAGTCAGTGTAGACGTTGCTTCCTGTTTATTTTTATATATTTCATATTTCTAAACCACCCATCTCCTTCAGAGGGTCTCACTCGCTTATACGCTCACTAGCACTGATGATCCCAAAGGTGCTTTTTCAAGAGGCCACTGGAGTTTGCTTTTCCATGAAGACGTTTCGCTTCTTATCCAAGGTGCTTCTTCAGTTCTGACTGAATGGTGGAGAATGGAAGGATATTATATACTTTGCAGTCATCTGCTCGTTAGCACTCTTTCTGGGAGTCACTAGGGCTACTTGGAGGTTTATCTGTGCCCTTGGGGTCAACTGAATAGTGCAAATGGGTGTGGAACCTTTTCGGAACTGCTGAAAGGACTGTGTTGCACCTTTGGGACAACCATGAGGTGGATGACTGAGAATCTCCACAGACATTTAGCACTGATGATGTTACCTAGTTTGGTAATGAAACGTCTGCGAGGAAACAACCGAGCTCAAGAGAGCAGCCAAGACCTCACAAAAGACAAACAGATTTCATAATTGCCAACTACAGAGAGGGAAATGCAGATTCCTACCCTCTCAGTAAGGCTAGGTACAGGTTGAATTATTCAATTTGCCCATCAACTTCCCATCCTAGTCTGACAGCCCCAATCTCAGCCCCTCTTGCCTAATAATCTCGGGCGGAACGGTGAGCGCAAACTTCCATTTCTCCCTCGTTTTCCCCAGCTCCGTCGGATGCAGGAAATGTTACGGCAAATGCAGGAGCAGATGCTACACAGCAAGGGAGAACAGTGTGACAGCTTGTGAAGGAGCCTCTTTTTCCAAGTCAGAGGAATTCCCGAAGGAAGAAAACCCCTGGGTGATCTTTGGGTCAGAGGAGCCCACCAGCTTTGGAAAATGGCCAGGTTAGCTCTGGCTGATGAACTGTGCATTTGGAGAAGTTTGAAAAGGGAATTCTTCCCTTCGTTTCCCTCTCCCTCTTTCATACTCACCTCTTTGCCCATTCACTAAGACCCTGAGCATTTCTCACCTGCCAGCACAATAGTGCTTTAATAATAACTCAAGATGCTCCAATAAAACACAATGTTTGGATCCATGCCAGGCCTGGAATGTTTAGTAGTTATTCTCTCCCAATTTCTTACTTACAAGGTATTTGTATCTGAAGTATGATCTGTTAATGATTCGGGATCGAATCTTGTCCAGCATCAAATACAGGTAGTCCTTGACCCACAACCATAATTGAACCCAAGATATTGGTTGCTAAGAGAGACATTTATTAAGCGAAGTTTGCCCCAATTTATGACCTTCCTTGCCACAGTTAAGTGAATCACTGCAGTTGTTTAGTTAACACGGTTGTTAAGTGAATCTGGCCTCCCCATTGACTTTGCTTGTCAGAAGTCACAAAAGCGGATCATGTGATCCTGGGGACACACTGCGACCCTCATCAATATGAATCAGTTGACAAGCATCTTAATTTTGACCATGTGACCCTGGGGATGGTGCAATGGTCATAAGTGTGAAATTCAGTCATAAGTCACTTTTTTTTAGTGCCACTGTAACTTTGAACGGACACCAAACGGTTGCAAGTCGAGGATAACCTGTAGCGGCTTTTCAATAGGACCCAGTCATTAATCCAGATCTGATTAGGTCAGGATTTTGATTGGCTGAATTTACACAACTCTCTCAACTTGTTATGGAGGGCTGTTTTGTGCAATGGCAGGCAAACCCACCAGCTGGGATTAAACCACCATGGCTTAGTAGTTTAACAGGAAAACCAAATGATTTTCAACAATATCTACTGATCTTCTACAAGAATGCCGAGATGTTAAAAAGTCATAAGGTAAGAAGTCATTGGTAAGAAGCCACAAAAAGATGAACCTAGGACAGTGGTGGCGAACCTATGGCACGCGTGCCAGAGGCGGCACTCAGAGCCCTCTGTGGGCACAAGCGCCATGCACCGGAGATGGCAACCGTCTCTCTTCAACCAGCCACCCACTAACTCGCCGAGGTCCCATGTGGCCACAGCTGGTTTCCCTTCCCCCCGTCCCATTCTTCCTGGCCTTGTATGCTCTCCTTTTCCCAGGTAGGACTCACTGCATCGCCTCCTCAGCTGTCAGCCGTCCATCCAGCTCAGAGGTGGCTTCTCTGAACTGCTGGTGGTGGGCTACGGAGCCTGAGTGTGCCAGTCGACGGACACTGTCGGCTCCCATGCGCTCGCTGGCTTGTGTGAGGGAGCCGATGGTGTCAGGCAGCAGCCGCCCCAACCCTGCCTCGCCTTGCCCTGTAACAATGGCACCCCCACCCTGCCTCACCTCACCCTGCAGGACCTTCCTGCCCACTGCCCCACCTGCCAGATCCCCTGGGTCTCCCCAACCCTGCCCAGCCCCCACAGGCATCCCTCCCCATGAGCAACATCGAGGTGACCACGCCCACCTTGGCCACACCCGTCTGCCATGACCACCACAGCCACACCCACCCAGTGGGCCACGCCCACCTGGCACCCAGAGATAAATAAGTTTTGGGTTGCAGTTTGGGCACTCGGTCTCTAAAAGGCCCGCCATCACTGCCCTAGGAAAAATAACTCTTTAATTCTTGGCTTAATACTATAAAGGTAGGCCTCAACTTACAACCTTCGTTCAGCAACTGTTTGAAGTTACAACGGCAGTGAGAAAAGTGACTTATGAACAGTCCTTGCACTTGCGACTGTTGCAGTGATTCCACAGTAATGTGATCAAAATTTGGATGCTTGGCACCTATTTATGGTTGCCGTGTCCCATGGCCAAACTTTCCCAATTGGCTTCTGAGAAGCAAAGTCAATGTGGGAAATCAAATTCACTTAGCAACCATGTTACTCAACAACTGCAGTAATTCACGAAAAAAATCATGGCAAAAAAGATCATAAAACCTGGCACACTTCACTTACACTTTGCTTAGCAACAGAAATTGGTTCCAATTGTGTTTTTAAGTTGAGAGCTACCTGTAATAGGCAGAATCAGCAGGATGGTTGATTGGGCAAGAATAGAAATATGATGGAGGGGATACTAAAGTGCTGAAGAAGAAACACAGGTATCCATTTCTATCCATAGTATCTCCCACATTATGACATTTGTGCGCCCACCTCATGACGCGTGCTTCATTGTTTCTGCACCGGTGTTGCAATATCACACGCATGTGCTGACTATACATTGTACTGTCACGTGTTTATAAAAGGATGACACATTTGCATCATGACATCACTCGTCCTTTCTGCCGACTCGGTAGGAGCAAATGAATCAACACAGAGAAGGCGTATCTAACAACCTCTTGAAATTTTTATTATTTTACGACGACAGCCTTGTGATGTTGCCAGTCTGGGCAGGAAAACCCCCACAGCCATTTCATTCTTCAGCTTCCCACCATTTCTTCCCTCAGAGAAGCCCTTCGCGTTTGTTTTTAAGACCAAAGTGGATACCAAATGAGGTGTAATTTACACTTTGAGGTGGGCAATTCTACTGGAAAGAATGTGCAGTCAAGAAGAAATCGTCAATTCTTCAGGCCAAAATGGTGGCCACCTTTTTTTCTCTAAAAACTAAACTAAAACTACAGCCATAAGCTGGAGAGAAGAATCTAGCCTCACTCAGAAAGCAGAGTTTATAAAAATTCCTTGCACTTCTATGCTTGATACACCTCCACGAGGAGGGGGGCATGTATTTCTCTCTGTAAACTTTTTCCACAGCCAATGGGACATTTATGTTTTATCTCCCCCCCAGAGAAATTTCTCTGCACTCCCGTACATCCATCTGCAACCCTTGAGGTTTGGGATGGAGAATCTGGATGGACTCCAGTTCTTGGCCAACACGGTCTCAGAGTGATGGAATTGCAAATGGTCACAGGTTCTCCAGATCAACTTTGCAAAAGAAAAGACAGGGCAAAGGATCAAAAACTGAATCTCTACAACAGGTCCATTGGTCTATCTTTGAATTGCTCATCCCAAAGAAGTCATAAACCGTGAAAAGAGCATCTTCTGGAAGCCACAGAGTGATTCTTCTTCTCTCCATCCAGGAAGAGGTTCTCTCCATACTTATTCCTGATACTCCGTGTATTTCTTGGAGGAACCATAGACCCGCTTGGCTGGGTATTTGAGGCGGTTCTTCTCTATTTTACGGAGAGCAGCCGTAGGGAGGTCCACATGGCACTTGTTTGCCAGGGCAACCAGATAAATGAGGACATCACTGAGCTCATCAGCAAGGGCTTCACGCTCCAATGGGCTCCACCCTGGTAAGCCTTCGGGAGCTTCTTCCCGCCATTGGCTAAAAAAACAAACAAACAAAAAAAAACAGACAAAAGCATTGAGTGCAAAAAACAGCCTAGATAGAGCCAGATTGAAGAGGGGAGAGAAAACCTGAGGGAGATTCTCTTCTCATGCTAAACCAGAGTTTTTTTTAACCTTGACAAGCCAATATCCACGGAAAATTGAATCACTTAAAAACTACCTTGTTTAGCAATTAAATTCTGGTCCCAACTGTGGTTGTAAGTACCCTTTTCCCGAATTAAACTGCAGAGGGAGAGGACAATGGAAACCTACAATGTTCAAATTTAAATAACTTTATTGCGGTCATGAACTAGCACAATGGTTCTCAACCTTTTTAATGCCACAACCCCCAACCTGTCGTAAGTTGAGGACTATTCAACCGGTCGTAAGTTGAGGACTACTCAATTGGTCGTAAGTCGAGGACTAGTCAACTGGTGCAGCACCGTTTGCAGAATGGGACTTTTGGCGGGCTCAGCAGGGCAGAGACAGCCTGGACAATTCCTATTGGCTTTTGAAAGCCAATAGAATTAAACTAAAAGCCAATAGAATAAAAGGGAGTAGCACAGCTAAGGAAAAGTGGGAAAAAAATGGTGGACTGTGTTGTTTGGCGACCCCCATGAAATGGTCGTTCGACCCCAAATGGGGTCCCGACCCACAGGTTGAGAACCACTGAACTAGCAGAAGGAAAGCTTCTCTGCATTGCCTAACTCCTAGTGCAGGGGTGTCAAACTCAATTTCATTGAGGGCTGCATCAGCATTGCGGTTCCCCTCGGGGTGTGTGTGGCCTATTGGGTGGGCATGGCCAGCTCTACATCATTCGCGTTGGGTGCCTATGGTGGCCTGGGCAGGAATGGGACAGATCTGAGGGTCTCTGGCAGAAGGGGGTGGGACCAGGGCAAGGCATGGTCCACTGGAGGAGCCTCACTGCCTGACGAAACCCCTCCCCTGGAGCCCATCAAGCCGGATATGTGAAGTAGGTGAGGGCCATTTGCTGGCCACTTCCAGGCAATGGTGCATTTCTTCATTCCTCACAAAGGGTGACACCTCCCCAGCATGCACCCGGGGGCAGGGCTGACACTGCAGGGGCTGGTTCCTCACTGGTTCCAGACGGCCTTGTGGAGCTAAGACTGAATGTGTTTCAGCATAGATGGCCACCACAAAATTGTATATTGGCTCCCGGCTGGCCTGGGCCAGGGCCAAGGCAGGAGGGGCCATTCCCTCATTGTTTCCAGGATGGCTTCGCGGGCCGCATCCGGCCCCTGGGCCTTGTGTTTGACATGTCTGTCCTAGTGGGTGGGACTCTTATGGTCCCCAAGAAGGCATTTCTGGATCTACCTCCCCATTTCTTCCCCCCACTCCACAGACTGTTATACTCACAAGAGCTCTGCCAGCTCCCCAACTTCCCCAACCAGAGCAAGAAGCAGATTCCGAGGCTGGTGGTACTTCCCCCAGTCCCGCTCAGCTGCGAAGGCCGACTGGAGCCTCCGACTGCAGGAGACAAAGTAGAAGAGAAGATGAGAAGGCCGCAGAGGGAGAGATCTTTCATATGCACCCCCTCCAAAAAGGGGAAGCGGCATGAATTAGGGGTAAGTGGGGTGATATAAAGGGGTGTCTCACATGTCTTCCAGAGTGGGATTGGCACTAAACTGAAATGGTGCTTGAGATGCGCTGGGCCCATTAGTCACTACTGCCTCATCTACTTTTCCCTCGTTCATCTTCGTTGGGCAGGTGTACAAGGCCTGGCAAGGAAAATCAGAGTAAAGTCAATATTTAACTGGTTGGGAATAAGAGAATGGTCCCGCTCCTTTACAATGGCCTGTTTACAACTGGATAATAAGAAGTTAGAGCAATGGTTCTCAACCTTTTTAATGCCGCGACACCCAACCGGTCGTAAGTCGAGGACTACTCAACCGGTCATAAGTCAAGGACTACTCAAGTAGTGCAGCACCGTTTGCAGAATGGGACTTTTGGCAGGCTTAGCAGGGCAGAGACAACCTGGACAATTCCTATTGGCTTTTGAAAGCCAATAGAATTAGACTCTATTCAAGAGAGTCTATTCTATTGGCTTTCAAAAGCCAATAGAATAAAAGGGAGTAGCAAAGCTAAGGAAAAGGGGGAAAAATGGCGGACTGCGTTGTTTGGCGACCCCCGTGAAATGGTCGTTCGACCCCAAATGGGGTCCCGACCCACAGATTGAGAACCACTGAGTTAGAGGTATGCTTGAAGTGGAGGGCAGAGCAAAACTTAAAATGGATCTTTCTGTGGTATAGACTCTTTCTGTGTCTGAGCATTAAATAAAAACAAAAACAATAATGGGTCGCAGCTTCTTATAATCACTACTTCAGTTTTTTAGGGCAATTTGCAGTTAACAAAAGATTCACAATTTGTTGGATACTGGTTAAGATTTTTTAAATTAAATATTTATTTATAAAATATATTTATTTATAATTGGGTGCCCATTTTACCACAGGGTAACCCTGGGCAGCTTACGGTCATAAAAGATAAAAATTGTATAAACTAAAAACGTAAGTTAATATACAAGCAAACACTATGGGCCCAATTAAAGATGGGCAGGGTGGGAGCAGGACTGGGGGGAGGTGGGATCTGTTATTAATCAATCGATCATCACCACTGTGATGCTTCTCCATTGGAGCCCCAAGCTAACCGGCAGTATCTAGGAGACAAGATAGTTCACAGAGTTCAGATTTGTCTATAGAGTAAGCTGCCATGTAACAGAATGACACAATAACAGAGTTGGAAGGGACCTTGGAGGTCATCTAGTCCAATCCCCTGCTCAGGCAGGAAACCCTATATCATTTTGGACAAATGGCTGTCCAGTCTCTTCTTAAAAACTTCTATTGTTGGAGCATTCACAGGTTCTGGAGGCAGGTTGTTCCACTGATTGTTCTAACTGTATAATTGCCTTGGTCTAAGCATAGTGTTTTTGCATACTGCCAATCATAATTACTCAAGAAACTATGGCTAAACAAATCATAGTCTAGCACCACATATGAACTTTTCTCATTCGCTTTCCTCAAAACTGTGGCTTTAAATAATTCTTACAGTCTCCCAAGAAATTCTTAAGATCAAGAAGGCTCAGGAAATTCCTGAAGATGAGACTAATGATGAATGAGAGAGATGCATAAATACATAAATTAAGGCCTCAGTGCAATAGATGTGAAGATGCAGCAAATGATTGTGGATGAGCAAATACAACAGAAGCTCTGTTACCTCTGTCCTTTTGAATATGTTGTTGGCAAGACCACAATCCTCTGAAACACTAAGTTCTTCGCCAGTCTGGGACACAGAAGACTCTGTGGTGCTATCTTGTGCATTGGCGGACATATGCTGCTGAGAATCTGATGGATTTACACGCGTTTCATGTTTGCGGGTCTGGCAGGCTGTCCTCCCTTCCTTGCCTACAATGGCCTGAAACTGGGCATTTGAGTCCTTTTCCTTCCCTTTATCCCTCTCTGATGATGCCATGATCAGTTACACCTGGAGGGAAAGTGGTTTGCCAAAAAGAAGAGATACTATTTCAGACATTCTCCTGTAACACATTTCCTACACAAAAATCAAAAATCAATACAGGTACTTACGATCACAACTGAGGCCAAAACTCCTGTTGCTAAGCCAAAAGTTTGTTAAGTGAATTTTGCTCTAGTTTACGATCTTTCTTGCCATAGTTGTTAAGTGAATCACTGCAGTTGTTAAATTAGTAACACAGTTAAATGAATCTGGCTTTCCCATTGATCTCCTTTGCAGGTTGGTAGCTCGCAAAAAGTGATCACATGACGCCAAAACACTGCAACCATCCTAAATATGAACCTGTTTCCAAGCACCCAAATATAAATCACACGGCCATGGGGAGGCTGCAAAAGTTGTAAGTGTGAAAAACAGTCATAACTCACTTTTTTTCAGTGCTGTTGTAACTTTGAACGATCACTAAACAACTGTTGTAAGTTGAGGCCTACCTGTACTATAGGTATAGGATATTTTGCTATGTCAGAGCACTCTTAATATCCTCAAAAGTTTAGATGTGGCCTCCAGAAACTTCTAGTTTTTAACCATATTTTACTTTGGAAAAGTATTAAAAATATAATTAGAGAATAATCACCGTATTTAATTTCAATTATACATAAAAAATGGAAATCAAATCATTTTTTTATCCCAGCCATCCCTAACCTTTTTAGAGCACAATACCTGGCACTCCACTTAAAGGCCATGTTGGGCCTATGGTTTGGAAAAATTGCCCTTTTCTGAGATGATGAATGTCAATATTCCCTTTTCATCTGTTAGGCCAGGATGGAGTCTGGTCCTAGTGGAGCTTTGCCATAAAATTATCTTGGGTGAAGCAGCTGCCCCAGAGTTCTCTGGTTCATTTAGACACGCTTCCAAGACAGCAGAAATCCAGTTTAATCCCAATTTCCAAACTTCTCCAATTCACTAATCCTTACATCCTTAAATTTCGGCTTAACCTGAGTTCAAGACTTTCCAAAGCTGATCCCCTGAATAAAGGCTTACTTTCAGTATGAGGGCTTACATCTCAATCACCCAAGGAAGGAATGCCTCTAAGCATATGCAGAAGGCTATCCTCAAAAGCAGGGTTCAAAACCTTAACATTTGGAAGATGCACTTTCAGCAAATGAGAGGGATTTCTGATCATCTATCACCACAGCAACAGAAGCAAAATGCCCTTCTTATTTAATTCCATGGGCTACCAACTTCTTTGCAACCCTTGTGTGGCAGTTTCATATGCAAGGAATAAAGCAGATTAGGACATTAAAACAATCCATGGCAGCTTTTGAGGTAAAACAACTAAAGGAAACTGAATATCAATCGGTTTCTCCACCACTGGAGGTTTGGTTTCGACTTACCATAATAATACCAAATACAGTACTGTGGTTGATAAATCATGACCAGTGACATCAATCCTTGCAGGGACCCACCTAACTATGGATTGTTCAATAACCATGATGAAGCAAACCACTATTTAGCATGTAACCCAAAACTCTCAGGGTTTTTTTCCCCAGATCATACAGACTTCCCAAAACTTTTTGGCTGGGCTGTCTGGTGAATCGGAAACTGGGCTAGATAAATCCTTGCTCCAAGGATTTCACCTTTTACCACTCCAAAATATGTTTCTTTTTCTAAATCAGTTCCAGCCTCAGAAGCTGCAGAACCACTAAATGGGCTGATTTCTTCTCCCCGTCTTTTTTATCCTACTTTTTAAGGCTAGCAGACAAATCATCCTCATCATTAACCGGGACTCCTGGATCTGGGCTGCAAAATCCTGGACGATCATTAGATAGCAACAGAGAGGTTAACGTCTTGCTGCCCTCTAGAATTTAAAGGGAGTTCCGCAAGCCATAAATTCTATGAAATTCAATTAAGCACTGGATGAAATCTCATTTTCTGTGCAATTACTGAACTTAACCCCCCCCCCAGTATGTCTGGTGCTAAATGAATAAAAAAAACAGCACCCACCTGGATTTCTGCCGGTCCCAGATTGGAGAGCCACCCAAGGACACCCCACAACACACGAGGCTCCAGCTAGAACGCGGGATTTTTTTTCCCGGGTTCACCCTGTCTCTCCGCCAATCAACAAGAGACAGTCCGCTGGGCTCTCATTGGTTAGCAGGGTTGTGACGTCAGCAGCCCTGTTCGCTCAAAGGAAGCCATCAAAACACATGCCGAGTTCTGTAACCAATCAAAAAGGAAGGAAGTTAGAAGGGCGGAGATCTGCGCCTGATTTCATCCAATCAGAGAAGATCTAAGTAAAAGGAAGAAAACAATACAGTGTAGATGGAAACAAAGGCTGGTATGCGGAGTATGTGGGGGAGGGGAGAAAAGATTTTAAAAGATTTTTTTTTTCTTTATAAAACTAATCTGCTGCAGGCATGGCCTCAATACAAGCCTTTTAGTTCCACTTTTTTATTATTTTTCCCCTTTCCTATCAATCAGCGGGAGACCGTGAGTTCAAATCCTGCCTTAGCTTTGAAAGCCAGCTGGGTGGCTTTGGGCCAGTTGCTTTCTTTTTTTTTTTTTTTTTTATTAAAAGTTTTATAAATTTTACAAAAAAGAAAAAAGAATACAAAACAAGAGACAACATATACAAAAAAATAAAACTAAACAATACATATATATAAAAAAAAAACCCCCACCCCTCCCAAAACCCCCCCCTCCCTTCCCCCCCCCCTGAGCGTCCCAGAGCAGAATATAGGCTTAAGAAGTAAAAATAAAAATTAAATTAAGAACTTTATATTTATATATATAAAAAGATTATCTATAATATATATGAAAATAAAACTTATGAAAAAACTATATAATATTTTTGTATACCCAATCTAAATTGTATAAATTTTATCCATTTATCCCAAACAACAAGAAACTTCTCTTGCGTTTGTTGCTTTAAGAAAGCCGAAATCTTTGCCATTTCCGCCAGATAAGCTACTTTAAGAAACCATTCCTGCAATGTAGGCAAAGATTCCTTCTTCCAATATTGTCCTACTAACAGCCTAGCGGCTGTAATCAAATTTAACATCAAAACAACCTCCTTTGTATCACAATCTGTAACAATACCTAACAAAAATAATTGCGGAGTAAATTTTACCCTCCTTCTAAAAATTCTCTGGATATTCCACCATATTTTGATCCAAAATGCTTTTATCTCTCTGCATGACCACCAAATATGATAATAGGAAGCCTCCTTATAACCACATCTCCAACATTTGGGTTGCACGTCAGGGTACATATAAGACATTTTTTGTGGATCAAGGTGCCATCTATAAAACATTTTATAAAAATTCTCCCTTAAGTTCTGTGCTTGTGTAAATTTGACATTTCTCACCCAAATATTTTCCCAGGTGTCCAATGAGACTGGCTCACCAAAATTCTGCGCCCATCTTATCATACAATCTTTAATTAGTTCCGTTTCTGAATCCAATTCAACTAAAACCGCATAAATTCTCTTAATGTGGGTTTGTCTTGAATCCTTCACTTGCTTGATAAGATTTTCATCTTCTCTAAGAAAACCCACCTTACAATCCATCTTCCATCTGTCTAATAATTGCCTATATTGGAACCAAGAATAAATAAAGTTTTCTTGCGCTAACTCTTCCCGTGATTTTAATTGCCAGTTTTGTCCATCCCATTTAAGTAACTGTCTGTAAGACACCATATCCATTTTAACCCCTCTTTTTATTGCTTCTATCGCATGCCAAGGTATAGCCCATAATGGTACTTTGAAATCACTTTTATAATATTTTCTCCAAATCCTAAGTAAAGAAATTCTTAAGATATGAGATTTAAAAGCCCAATCCATTTTTTTATTGAATATTAAATAGGCATGCCACCCATAAAGTAAATCCCATCCCTCTAGATAAAGTATCTCAGAATTTGTCAAATTTACCCAATCACTGATTAGTGTTAAAACCACCGCATCATAATATAATTTCAAATTTGGTACCTTAAGTCCACCCCTCTCACGGAAGTCTTGCATAATTTTAAACTTAACCCTTGGCTTTTTCCCTGCCCAGATAAATTTATTAAGACCCTTCTGCCACTCATTTAAATTAATCTCATTTTTCAAAATTGGTAACATTTGAAACAGAAAAAGAAACTTGGGTAAAATATTCATTTTTATCACTGCAATTCTTCCCATGAGGGATAATTGCAACTTTTCCCAGTTCTTCAAGTCCTTCTGTACCCTGACCCACAACCTTTCATAATTATTTTTAAATAATTTTACATTAGAAACAGACAACATCACCCCCAAATATTTTACCTTATTAACAATCTCAAAACCCGTCAGGTTAGTCAAAATCTGCTTCTCCTGACTAGACATATTTTTAGGTAAAATTTTGGTCTTATTTACATTAATCTTAAAACCCGAGACCAAGCCATAATGATGAATCAACTGTAATAAGTTTACTACAGAATAATCAGGTTGCGACAAAGTAACAACCAAGTCATCCGCAAAAGCTCTTAACTTATATTCTTTTTTATTAACATATATTCCTTTAATTTCCTGAGACTCTCGAATTTTGATCAATAATATTTCCAATGTTAAAACAAACAACAAGGGCGATAAAGGACACCCCTGTCTAGTACCTTTCTCTATTGTGAAAACCTCCGAAAGACCTCCATTAACAATAAGTTGTGCTGTTTGTTTTTGATATATTACCTTAAGGGCTTGTAATATGTTTTCACCAAAATTCATTTCTTCCATTACTCTTAGCATAAAATGCCAATTCAATTGGTCAAATGCTTTTTCAGCATCTAAAAATATGAGCCCTGCAGGAACTTGGTTGTTCTTATCTAAGTATTCTAATAGATTAATAATTTGTCTAACATTGTTTTTCATATACCTTCCTGTTATAAACCCTGATTGATCTTTATGCACAAGATGATGCACCACCCTCATAAGCCTATTTACCAAAATTTTTACAAATATCTTATAATCCACGTTTAAAAGAGATATAGGCCTATAATTTTTTGGTAAAGTAAGATCTTGATCCTCCTTTGGAATCAATGATATAAAGGCACTACGCCATGAAGGAGGAATCTCTAAACCCTGTAAGATACCATTAAAAAGATCATTTAATGGTTGGATCATCTCCTCCATTAAAGCTTTATAATAAACAGCTGTTAACCCATCCGTACCCGGTGCTTTCCCTAATTTCAATTGTTGAATTGCTGAGGCAATTTCCTCCTTAGTAATTAAGCCATTAATTTCATATTTCTGATCCTCAGTCAGTTTAGGAAAACTTGCCTCAGCTAAATATTTATTTATATCTAACAATTGTACATTAGTAGATTTATATAAGTTTTGATAATAATCCAAAAAAGATTTTTAATTAATTCCTTCTGAGAAACTAGTTTACCCTTGTAATTTATTTTCTCTATTATTCTCTGTCTCTGTTTCTTTCTTAATTGATAAGCCAACCATCTCCCCGGCTTATTAGCATTACAAAATGTATTTTGTTTCATAAATAATAAATTGGTTGCAGCTTGATCTGCTATCAACATATTAAATTGTGACCTTAATAACTTTACAGATTCTTTAGTACTTTCATCAGAAGGATTTAGAATCAAAGCCCTTTCTTTTAATTTAATTTCATCTTCAAGTTCTCTACGTTTCTGAATCTGATTTCGCTTATAAAAATTATTCATTTTTATCAAAACACGCGCATAAATGCTTTACCTGCATCCCATACCATTGACATTGAAGTCCCCTTGTACATATTCAAAGCAAAATAGTCCTTTAAACACTCCTTTAATTTTTGAACATTCTTCTCTTGTCTAAACAAATTTTCATTAACTCTCCAGGATCTTCTTTCCTCTTTCTCTTGAATCAGCTCCATCCAAACTGGACTATGATCCGTCAGTGATCTAGGAAAAATCTTAACATTCTTTACTTTATTATACAAGTCCGTGGTAATCAAGAAAAAGTCAATTCTTGAAAAAGATTGGTGTCTATCAGAAAAAAAAGTAAAGTCTCTCTCCTCTTGGTTACGTTGTTTAAGAAAAGGAGAGGAACCTTTCTTGTCCCTTTGTATATCTAAGACACCATTCCAATCACCCATTAATACCACTGATCTATAATCAAGCAATGTTATTTTTTGATGTAACTGCTTATAAAATTGTTCCTGTTGTTGATTTGGAGCGTAAAGTCCAACTATAAGTATTTTCTTACCATAAATACCAAGTTCAATCATCACATATCTCCCCTGGGGATCTGATTCTACCAGACAAGCTGGTAGGTTTTGTTTAACATATATAACAACTCCCCCTTTCTTCCCAGGAGCAGAAGATATAAAATGAGATCCCAAACGAGCATTAACTAAATATTTCTGATCTTTAAGTAAAATATGAGTTTCCTGTAAGCAAATAACATCATTAGTATGTTGCTTCAAATAATACAAGATTTTTTTGCGTTTCTGAGGAGAATTCAATCCATTAACATTCCAGGTCAAAAACTTTGCCATCTCCCTTGGCACGCAGCCTGGAGAAGACACCATCAAACTATGAAAGAGCTGCGTGTGTTGCATAACTCTTGGGTCTTGCTCCTCCCACCGGCGGTGATGCACTTCCAGGAGAACTCTCTTTAGGCTCTTTTTTACGTTGCTCCTGCTCTTTACGCTTATAGGCTGCACGGGTCATCCTCTGCTCTTTAACCTCCGTCTGGCGTTGCTTTACAGCTTCTATCATCCCAGCGGAAACCAAATCTAATGCCTCAGATTGCTGCTCAACTTCCTTGCCACTCAGAGATTTCCGACCAGATGAGGTTGAGCCTGCACCCAGGACCGAAGTATAAAAATCTCTAGCTTTGTCAACTGTGTTCAATCTGTAGCGTGTCCCAGCATGGCTCAAAACAATACCCATCGGAAGTTCCCATCTAAATGGCATCGATCTAGCTTTAAGCTCATTGGTTAAAAAAGCAAAGTCTTTCCTGCTTCTTAAAATTTTGGATGGGATTTCCTTTAAAATGATGACATCTTGGTCAGCAATCTGAAATCTTTTATTGTAAAAAGCTTGTATAATCTCATTCCGCAGGGACTTCTTTGTAAAATAAATCACCACATCTCTAGGCAAGTTCTTCTGCTTAGCAATCCAG